TGCTCCATGAAAGTAATTGCTGGACAAATACACAATTCGAATATTGCTAGATGGTAGAGAAAGTGGTAGCTCTCCAGAAAGAAGGTTATAGCTCAAATCAAGGAACTCGAGTCGATTCAAAGACAAGAAGAACTGTGTTTCAAGTGAACCATATAGTGAATTGTGGGAAAGGTTCAAGTGGGTGAGATGTGTGAAATTTCCAAGTGAAGAGCGAGAGATACCTCCTTTGAGCCCTTTGGAAGGTAAAAGCAAATGCGTGACCCAACCATCTTGATCACAAGCGATGCCCTTCCAGTGACAGCAATCAAGTGATGTCCAATTTATTAAAGGGGGAGCAGAGAGAGTTGAGGCAAAGGACAGGAGGGAGCTGCGTTCAGTTTGTTTGCAGGCATGAATATTTGTAGATATAATGTAAGAGAATAAGAGGAAGAGAAGGAAGTCATGAGCCATTAAGTTATAATAAGGCTGCTTTATGTTCCGTTGCTCACAGGTTTGTATATATACATATATATATATATATATATATCGGCAAACAACAACCACGCAATGCAAATTATTGATATTCAAAGAGAAAGCCTCATTGGGTCTTAAGAGGGGGCCACCAGCGGAGAGGACTTTGTCGTGTTGATAATTTTCTCGGAAATTTGGTAGATATATGGTTTTATTTATTACGGCACGCATGCATTGCTAATCAAGCCTGATCTCATTGGTAGATATATGTCCCATTCACAAGTCTTCGTCATCCATTGTTGATCAAACGGAGCAAAATTATGTAATTTGCACCTTTACGTATAAAGGACACATAGTCATTGGCAGAGAAGTGCATTTCTTTCAGCTGTCGAGGAAATTGTGAATGAAGTTAACCTGACTGGATTGGACACTCCTTCCTTTTCTGCTAAACTTCTGAGCTCCTCCAAGTACTCAACATTTTCTCTCAACCGCTTATGAAATCCACCTAACATTGGACATGTATTGGATGTTGGAGTTTGAAAGCCAAATGAAGAGCTTTTTGTCCCCCATCGAAAACCCACACACCTTTAGTAAGGTGTATATAAACTAAGAGCATCTCCAACAGTAATAGCAAATACTTCAAATTAAAATTTGTTGGCCTATGTGGCAATTTGAAAAGGTTTATTTGCTACATGAATTATTTTTGCTCCAACAAACTCTTCAATTCAATTAATGCAACATCATTGAAAAATATGAAAACATGTGAAAAATAATTGGAATCCAATTTTGCCACATCAGCAGTTAACATAATTTTTAACTGTTTTTCTGACGGAAGGTGTATTTTGGAAGGTTCCATGAAGTTTGTGGTCAAACGGGTCAATAAACATTGGGTATGAGTTTGTACGGCCATCTCCAGTCATAGGGCTAAATGTAGTCCATGGCTATAAATTTAGCCCTTCAAAATATTAATTTTTTAAAGAATAATGTAGGGCTAAATTTTAGGGCCCTTTATATTTTATTATTTTGAGAAAAATTAGGGTACAACACTCATACATTCCACTACTATGTATTGTTTAATTTAATTAAACTACTATTTAGAGACAATATTCCACTACGCTATCTTCAGAGACTTTAATGAAAACCTTGCAAAGATATTCATCTTCCACTTGTGACCAATTTTTCCCTTCGAAGTCCGGGACGTTTTTCAAACAATGTGAATAACAAAATAAGTAAATTTACAGGGAATGTTTGGATGAAATGAGTGTGGAAAATTTTTGACAAAAAGAAAAAGTGGAAAGTTGTGAATAAGTAGAGAATGTGATAGAATTTGTAAGAAATATGGAATGAAATGAGTGGGAAATTTTTTTAATAAATTTTGAGGTATTTATAGACATATTTTATGTTTTTTAAAAAAATTTCAAAAATAATGATAATAAAGACAACGAAGGCAATTTTTTATAATATATATATAGGGTGCATTTCAAAAGGTTATGACCTCCCAATGATTAGAACCAATTGTTTAAAAAAAATTTAAAAGAATTTTATATACATTTGAAATGTAAAAAGAGAGAAAAAAAAAAAGAGTAACGTTTCAAATCAAATTTATATATATATATATATATATTTAAAACAAAACGAATTTAAATACATTTAAAAATGTTATAAAACAAAAACTAATGGCTATGAGACATCAATGTGCCTTAAAATATTAGCATTTGGATATGCAGTTGCACGAGATATTCCATGTTCACACTCATGAGTAATACTTTGTCTTTTTGGGAAACACATGCATTGGGCTCAAAAAAAAATTGGGCATGAGTTATAGCTGGGCTACAATAGCCTGGTGAGAGGGCTAAAAGGCTAAAGGTGACCCTTCAAATTTAGCCAAATGTTTTTTTAGTCCATGACTGGAGATGCATTTTGCATTATTTTATGGCTATATTTGGTCATGACTAGAGATGGCTTAATGACTCCATAATTTGGGGATTTATTGTAGTTGATCCTTAAAAAAATAAAAAAATAAAGCAACAGTAGTTGAAGAAAGAGAAATGCATAAAATTGAACCAAATAGCCTCACGGTACAGAGCCCAAAGGACCATTTGGTTGGCCAGTTGGTAAAAGTTAATACAAAATGAAAAGCTGCTACCAGCGCCAATCCACGCCACGTAGGAGTTAAACACTTTGGTTGGAGTACGTTTTGCAGTCCACACAGGATTTAACATTTCTTCTTAAGACGCTGTTAGTTGAAAACGGAATAGTTATGCCAATTTCACCAACTATGCATTTGTTGATTTGAACTGCCCCCTTCAGATCAAAATGCCTTCATACTTAGCGGTATTTTTCCTAGCATTTTCAAGGGCTCAATCGACAGTGGCTTTAATGAAGATTTCAGCCGCTTTATTTCGTTTCTTTTAGCTTGAGATTATTGACCCAAAGCAAAGACCTTGTTATTTTGAAGTCTATAGACCATAATGATTGGGCGTCCAAAGTCAATGTGATGGGATTGCATATAATATTAGTCAAGTATATCATGCGTGGTTGCAGACGTTTCACTTTCATGAAGCGATTCCGTATTTAAAAAATGAAGAAGATTTGCTGAAATTTCATCTTTGATTTTGAAGGCATTGGAAATTTCTTTTAGCTTGAAAACGATTTATCATTAAAGGCAAAACCGAGAAATTGGCAAACAACTATAACCATACGATACAAATTCTTCAAATCCCCTCTATATCTATACGTTGAAGAGAGATTTTAAGAGGAAATAAAGACTTTGTCCCACTCTCGGATAATGAAATCACCAAATGCTGCCCCACACTAAGTGTGAGATTTATTCTTTTAAAAAAAGGTTTTTCTATAAAACTTGAATACGAATTTGATCTAGCACAATGCCATCATTGTATGGCCAATTGTAGTACATGGCTTTCAACTAATGTAGCGAAATTGTGAACCGCATTAAGTCTAAAGAGAGCCACGATGAGAGGACCAGACCCCCTTATTCCACAGCGTTACTATCAAGTGTGTTCTATTCAAATTATCCAAGGAAAATATCAAGTGTCTTACATATTCCAAACACTATTCTCAGATTGACAAAAAATGAAAAAGAAAGAGAAGACAGATTATGAAACAAACTGTGTGCCTTACATAAGGAAACATAAAAAAAATACAAAATTTAAAGTACATGCTAGCAACCTTCTCTCTAACTTTCTTATTTGGACCTTCTCTCTTTTTTGTTTCACATGTGTCATTCTCCTTACACTTAAAACAATGTTATTAATATATTATACAAGTTAACTTTTGCTTTCCAAGTTTACCCTTATTAAATGTATTCAATTTATCCAAAAAAAATTCACAACCTTCTTACCATCTTATTAATTTTTTTTTAAACGTCAATTATTTTTTAAAAGAACATGTCTGCTTTTTTCAAACACAAAAGGTTTAGAGGAAATGTCCTTTTTTTTCAAAACACAAAGGACTTTTTTTTTCCCCTATCTAAACCCTTTGTGTAAAAAAAAAAACAAAAAAAAAAAAAGGGGGACATTTCCTGTTAAAAAGCAGATATTTTCTTTTAAAAAAATAATTGACGTTAGAAAAAAATTAATAAGATGATAAGAAAATTGTGACATTTTTGTGGATAAATTTAATAAAGGTAAACTTGGAAAGCAAAAGTTAGCTTGTATAATATATTAATAACATTGTTTTAAATGTAAGGAGAATGACACATATTAAGCAAAAAATGAAGAATGTCTAAAGGAGAAGGTTGGAGAGAAAGTTACTAGCATTCTCCTATATAAATTGGGCATTGGTAGATTCGAGAAACATCAGGCATTAAATGAATTGGATGTGACTTAAACATTTTGAGATATTAAGTCTTGCTTAATGTACAGTTAGGTCATATTGGGATTCTTACGTGTTCGTCACTTAGAGGGTTGTAAGAGTTGCCTTTTACCAATATGACCATGTACAGTTAGGGCATACATGCCGTATTAAATAACATCCAAAGACTTTGGGAACTTTGTAGTCCTGCTGGCCCCCCTCTTAAGACTCAATGAGGTATTCCCTTTGGTTTCATTAATGCAAATCTCTCTTCGATATCAATAATTTGCATTGTGTGGTTGTTGTTTGCCGACGTCTCAATTTGCATTGATGTTTATACATATATATATATATATACATCATCCTTACAAAAAATTAGACAAATCGAACACCTTTTCGACATCCAATTGTGTCCTACAAAATCAATGAACACGGTGCTTCAAGAAAGTACTAAATTTTCAATAACTCAATTGAATAGCCAAATGATATCGGATTTAAGTGATTTTTTGTAGAGATGATTTTTGAATGAGTATCTACAAAATAGACGGTTTGGATTAGTGAAATACAATCCGGAGTGGGCCCTACAAGGGGTGTCCCTCAAATGAGCTTATTTGAGGGATCCCACAATGGAAGCTCTCTGTATACATATATATATATATATATATATATATATATATACAAATCTGTGAGCAACTGCACATAGACAAAGCAACATGCAAATGCAGCCTTACAACCTAATGGCTCATGCCTTCCTTCTCTTCCTCTTGTTCTCTCGCATTACATCTATGAATATTCATGCATGCAAACACACTGAACGCAGCTCCCTCCTATCCTTTGCCTCCGCTGTATCTGCTCCTCCTTTAAATTGGACATCCCTTGATTGTTGTCGTTGGAAGGGTATCACTTGCAATCAAGATGGTTGGGTCACCCATTTGCTCTTGCCTTCCAAAGGGCTCAAAGGAGGTCTCTCTCCATCTTCACTTGGAAATCTCACACATCTCACCCACTTGAACCTATCACACAATTCACTTCTTGGTTCACTTGAAACCAAACTCTTCTTGTCGTTGAATTGTCTTGAGATCCTTGATTTGAGCTATAACCTTCTTTCTGGAGAGCTACCATTTTCTCTACCATCCAGAAATATCCGGACAGTAGATTTGTCCAGCAATCACTTCTTTGGTGCTATTCCATCTTCATTCTTCCAACAAGCAAGCAACTTGACTAGTTTCAATGTCAGCAACAATACCTTCACAGGGTATGTCCCATCCTCTATTTGTCTCAATTCTTCTCCCTTCCTTAGGCTATTGGATTTTTCTTCCAATCAATTCAATGGCAACCTTGCTCCTGGACTGGGGAAGTGTTCCAAACTACAAGTTTTTCGTGCAGGTCACAATAACCTCTCAGGATTACTTCCAGAAGATATTTATAATGCTACCAAACTTGAAGAAATTTCATTACCTCTCAATTCACTACTTGGAGCAATTAGTGACAAAATTGTCAACCTCACCAACCTTGCAATCCTTGTTCTCTACATTAATCAATTGAGCGGCAAGCTTCCTCCCAATTTGGGGAAGCTTTCCAAGTTGAAGTTTGTGACCCTTGATTTCAACAATTTAGAAGGTGCTTTGCCCCCATCTTTGATGAATTGCACAAACCTTGTAGAACTACGTTTGGGATCGAACAACTTGGAAGGAGATATCTCCATGCTTGATTTCTCCAGACTTAACCAACTTGCTAAACTTGACCTAAGGGTCAACAACTTCACTGGTACGTTTCCAGTAAGCCTTTACTCTTGTAGGTCCCTAAAAGCCATTCGATTAACTGGAAATAATCTAGTGGGACAAATACAAGCTCAGATTCTTTCACTGAAATCCTTGTCCTTCCTTTCGCTTGGTTTTAACCAATTCACCAATCTCACGGGGGCAATGAAGATACTGATGAGTTGCAAAAGTCTTCACGCACTCATGCTTAGTGGTTCCTTTAAAGGTGAGGAAATGCCAACTGATGATGACATGGTTGATTTTGACGGATTCCAAAATCTTCGGGTATTGTGTTTGGTTGAAAGTCGCCTCACTGGTCAACTACCTATGTGGTTATCAGAGCTCCATAATCTAGAGATTTTGCTTCTAAGTGGTAATGAAATAACAGGGCCAATTCCAAGTTGGTTGGGAACTTTTGACAGGACCCGCCCCGGAATTTCCCCCGAAACCGGGGCGGACCCCGTATTGTTGCCGACATCATACTGATGCCGGGCCCACTTACTAAAACCCAAGACATTCTATCAAAATTTTGGCAGAGTCTCCCCTGTAAAATGCTCAAACCAACAATAAACAACCTGCAATAATTTACATCAATATACAACCCAACTGCCAGCATGCTTTTACAAACTACAATCCAACACAAAATGGCCTCCGGCCTCAAGTAGTAGCCTAACATGGGCAATAACAGAGCGTCTACAGAATTTGTTTACAACAAACAGGGGAGTAGAAAGAATTTATACAGACCCTATTAACAGACGACAAGTTCGGAGCTCGTGACTTGCTCGAATGCCTTCAGGAGCAACTACTGTCTGGGGGGCGCAAAACAGAAAGATGTGAGTGGACAGAAATAAAGTTTCACTTTAAAACAACATAGTAACCCCACCATGTAAAAATAATGCTCTAGCATGCAGTTTCACAATTCAGAAACCAAAACTCAAGCACAGAAATCCCAAAGTCCAAAACATCTCCACATCTCAAGCTCATAACTCATTTCCCAAAATATATGCAACTCTCAACAACCCGTAAATACCCATATATAAATATA